ACTTTATGATAAAACTCTAATTGTAAGTACACTGCTTTCTGAGTTATTTGAGTTGCTATAGTGAATTAATTGTAAAGGATAGTGGGAACTCTCAGTTTGTATCCAGTTGGTCAGAAGTACCTGGGGACCCTAGCACTTGTGCCCGAGGTTTGAAGTGAAGGGAGTCTTATGGAGAGTTGTGCCTTCAACCTGTGAAGTCTGTGCTGACTGTGTAGTTAGCATCAGAAGTACACTAGCCCTCTGGGTAGTTCTGCATTGCAAAGGGTTTCTGCATTTGAAAGTTAAGTTTGAAAACCATTAAACCAAGTATTATGTAAGGTCAGTGTGTTACTATGGCTTTTTGGATTCATGTCGCAGATACAGGAGTAGTCTGAGCATTTTTTGAGCACTTAAGACTAAGAGCATGGTTAATGAGATAATTCCCCAAAGTAAAACTTGTTGTTGTTATTATTATTATTATTATTATTATTTTGTTGTTGTTTGAGACGGAGTTTCGCTCTTGTTATCCAGCCATTGCTGGAGTGCAATGACACGATCTCGGCTCACTGCAACCTCCGCCTCCTGGGTTCGGGCAATTCTCCTGCCTCAGCCCCCTGAGTAGCCGGGATTACAGGCACGACTTCTTATCATTTTTAAGGGACTTACAATATATTACAAAAGCTTGAACAATGATAGGTAAATTTGAGCTAGTTCTCCTCTTTTCCAAGTCACTTTTACATATTGGTGATATATTAATGTTTTTCAAAAAAGTCCAGTTCTTATTGTTTTATTTCCTTGTTTAAAACTTGGCATTATGATGTTTCTTGAATCAGTACAAACAACTGAGCTAGTATTTTAGGTCTTCATGCTGTTCTCTTATTATTCCAAACTTTCACAAAGAATCTAGGTGGCTGAAATACAGCCACCTAGATTCTTCATTATACTTCTTTTCTTTTTTTCATGACTTTACTTTTTACTTCATTCATTTAATTAGAAACAAATGAATTCATTATTCTGTTCTCTTCTTATTTTCTAAATATATCAGGAAGCCCTACCTGATTATTCTCTATTTTCTTGCTCTGTATTATTTGAAACTTTTTCTAGCTTATATTTAAGTTTATCTGCTTGTTTGATTTCCTTTTTTAGATAGTAAGCTACTTCTGGTAGGGTATGGGATAGACTGGAAGCTTATTCAATTTCGCCGAATATTTCTTCAAATTTTATAATTGTCTGCAAATAAATCGCTTTATTGAGATCATGAACTGTTTGGATCTTTGTATTTATTCTTAGCAAGGAATTAATTTGTGTGAATAACCTGCTTTTGCCCTCTTCTAGGTTAGAAGATTGTAGGGTAGCTAGGTACTGTACCTAACCAATACCCATTTTGTTTTTACTAGATGCTTATTTTAGTTCTCCAGTGGGAGTGACTCACTAGCAGGTGATGCTGTGATATAGAGCATGTATTAATACACCTTTTTGGTCAGTTGGCTGCTTTCTATTTTCTGCTTTTAAACTCGCATGACCTACCTCCTGCTCTTAGGAGTAGGTCAAAATGAGGAAATAAGTGTACTCTGTTGATCTAGACAGCAGGGCATTGAGGAGAGTATGGGAGCAAGAATTTCATTATCACATGGTCAAGACTAACCATTACAGATAAGAAACTTGGTATGAGTCATTTCTACCCTTCCTTCCACCCATCTCTTGTTAAAAAAATGGAGACTGCTATGGAGGATCTTGGTGATGTTATCTTTCAGGATCTGCTCTTTGAATTGCAGTGCTCCAGTCAAGACTGGTTACCCTCTGCTTCTGTATAGGGGTTATTTTGGAATATAATGATTTTTTTAAAGTATTTTTTTCCTCCTACGTATGTTCTTTTTCTCTTAAGTTGCTTCTTTTCTTTCTTTCTTTTTTTTAATCTTCACATTAGAAGATAGTTTTCAAATAGCTTGCTTGTTTGCCCATGATTAATACTGGAGAAATCACAAGCACATTGGCAGTTCTGATCATGTGGTTAGGTCTCATTGACTTCACTGTGGGTTGATCTGATGGGTCATTGACTATGGAATTCTGCCTCCTCCCTTCTCCTCCCCAAAATTACTGTCTTTAGGTCTCTCCTCTTAGGCTGACGTGGAGTCCCCCAGAAAAGAGTCTTCTAATTTCTTGGAGGGTAATGGTGCAAATGTTGAATCAGCCTTGCATACCTGGGATGAATCTTACTTGGTCATGGCATATATAATTCTTTTTATACATTGTTGAATTCAGATTGCTGATATTTTTGATACTGGTGGAAGGTATCCCAGTTACTGGCAGCAAGTCTGTATGGGTCTGCAGCAACCTCAATTCTTGTCTCCTCAAAAGAAAGAATTCAGTTGAGGGGCATAAGGCAGACAGAGATTGAGGCAAGTTTCAGAGCAGACGTGGAAGTTTATTTAAAAAGCTTTACAGCAGGAAAGAAAGGAAAGTGAGTACACTTGAAAGAGAGTGTACTTAGAAGAGTATGTTAATCTCAGTATATTTTGGGATTTTCCAGCTATCTTTCTGTAACTGATTACTAGTTTATTCCATTGTAATCATTTTGTGATTTCTATTTTTTAAGATTTGTCTTGGTTTGTTTTATGGCCCAGAAGGTGGTCTATCTTGGTGAACGCTGCATGTGAGCTTGAGAAGAATGTGTATTCTGTTGTTTTTGGATGAAGTAGTCTATAGATGTCAATTGTCAATTATATACAGTTGGTTGATGGTGGTGTTGAGTTCAACTATGTCCTTACTGATTTTCTGCTTACCTGACCTGTCCATTTCTGATGGTGGCGTGTTGAAGTATCCATGTATAATAATGGCTTTTCTGTTTCTCCTTGCAGTTTTATAAATTTTTGCCTCCTGTATTTTGGCATTCTTTTGTTAGGCACATGCTCATTAAAGATTGTTATGTTTTTCTGGAGAACTGACCCCTTATTATGTAATGCTCTTCTTTATCTCTGATAACTTTAATTGCTCTGAAATCTAATCTGTCTGAAAATAATATAGCTTTTTTATTTTACAAATTTCAGCATGATATATCTTTCTCAATTTTTTTTACTTTTTTTTTTTTTTGTTTCAGACAGTGTCTCTGTTACCCAGGCTGGAGTGCAGTGGTGCAGTCTTGCTTGGCTCACTGCAACCTCCACCTCCCGGGTTCGAGGGATCCTCCCATCTCAGCCTCTTGAGTGTGCTCAGCTAATTGTTGTTTTTTTTTTTTTTTTTTTTTGTAGAGACAGGGTTTTGTCATGTTGCCCAGGCTGGTCTCAAACTCCTGGGCTCAAGTGATCTGCTCACACAGCCTCCCAAAGCGCTGGGATTACAGGCATAAGCCACTGTGCCTGGCTTCATCCTTTTACTTTTAATCTCTGGGTATTTTCATGTCTAAAGTGGGTTTCTTATAGACCGCATATAGCTGACTATTGTTTTTTGATTCACTCTGACAATAGTATGTAGGCCATGATCATGTAAAATGACTATTAAATACTTGTGTTAATATCTACTGTATTTGTTACTATTTTCTATTCATTGCCCTCATTCTTTGTTCCCATTTTCTGTTTTACTCTTTTTTTGGCTCTTGTGATTTTCATTAAGCAGTTTACATAAATCCATTTTATCTTCTTTCTTAGTGTATCCGTTATACTTTTTTAAAAACTTTTTTATTTTAGTAGTTGCCCAAGAGTTTTCAATATACATTCACAACTAATCCCAAGTCTGCTTTGAGGTAACATTGTACCACTTCATGACTAGTGCCAATATCTTATAGTAAATTAGAATATTTTTAATTCCTCCCATCCCTTACATCATTGCTGTCATTCATTCTACTTACATGGAAGCATACCTAAGAATATCAGAATATATATAAAATCAGAGGTAATGAATACATTGTTGCTGTTATTTTGAATAAACTATTTTCAGTTAGATTAAGAAGAAAAATCAAAGTTATTTTTGCCTTCCGGTATCCTATCTCTATTCCCTTCCCCTTCCCCTTCCCCTTCTCTTCTCTTTTCTTCCCTTCTTTTCTCTTGCTCTGTCACCTAAGCTGGACTGCAGTGGCATGATCATAGGTCACTTCAGCCTCAATCTCTTGGGCTCAAGTGAGTGATCCCCCTACTTCAGCCTCCTCAGTAGCTGGGAATACAGGTAAATGCCACCAGGCCCAGGTAATTACTTTTTTTTAAAGATGACACCTTGATCTTTTGCCCAAACTGGTCTCCAGCTCCCATCTTCAAGTGATCCTCCTGCCTCGTCCTCGCAAAATGCTGGGATTACAGGCATGAGCCACTGTGCCTGGCCTTTAATGCTGTTTTTATCTTTTGTGTAGATCTAAGTTCCTAACTTACATCATTTTTCTTCTTTGTGAAGAATTTCTTTTAACATTTCTTGCAAGGCAGGTGTATTGCAGTAGATTCCCTCAATTTTTGTTTGAGAAAGTCTTTATTCTTCACTTTTGAAGAATAATTTCTTAGGGTACAAGATAAATAACAGGCAGTTATTTTCTCTGAACACTTAAATGAATATGTTTTTATTTAAGGAGATACATTCAGTCAAAACTTGGTTTTCTTTCCTTCAGTCCTCTCTCCTTATTATCAAAAAAACATATCAACAAAACTAGCTAAATGATTAACTTAATTACCTGAAACATTTTATAAAGATTTACTAGCAAGTAAATAATCTTTTGATAATGAAAATAATATTTCTTATTTTAGTCTTCCTTTTTGCAGACGGTGGTAGACCTATATGTAACTTTTTTATAAAAGAAAAATCAGTGCCTTATGTTTTATACTAAGAAGCAACTGAATTGTGAATAGGGAAAATAATCGCAAGAGATAATGAGGGTACGTCTCTCCTTTTAAAGATAGACATGAAAATAACTAGAATGTTGGCAACTGTTCTGATTTGTTGTTAAGACTTGATGATACTAGAGTTTTGTGATTTAAAGGTGATTATATATCTTATAAAGATTTTAAAAATAATGTTTCTGCAACCCTCTTTACAATCTACAGAGAAAGCAACCAGTGAGATGAATACTGCTGAGGACTGGGGCCTCATTTTGGATATCTGTGATAAAGTTGGTCAGTCTCGCACTGGGTAAGTATTCAGCGTTTCAAAGGATTTTTATTCTTACTTTTTGAAAAACATGAAGGGCCAGGTGCAGTGGCTTGCACCTGTAGTCCCAGCTCCTTGGTAGGGTGAGGTGGGAGGATTGCTCAAGCCCAGGAGTTGGAGGCTGTAGCATGTGATGATTACACCCATGAACAGCCAGTACTCCAGTCTGGGCAACATAGTGAGACCCCATCTCTTAAAAAAGAAGGATCAGGAGGTAAAATACATTGCCATTAAATTTAGTTTAGAAAGAGAATATTTTTATTAGAAAAATTTGAAGAATCATCTCATTTAGGTTATATACCTTTTAACCAGTTAGGGTAACAAACATGACTCGTAAAAAGTTGATACTGTTGGCTGGGTGTGGTGGCTCAAGCCTATAATCCCAGCACTTTGGGAGGCCGAGGCAGGTGGATCACGAGGTCAAGAGATTGAGACCATCCTGGTCAACAAGGTGAAACCCTGTCCCTACTAAAAATACAAAAATTAGCTGGGCATGGTGGTGCACGCCTGTAGTCCCAGCTACTCAGGAGGCTGAGGCAAGAGAATTGCTTGAACCCAGAAGGCAGAGGTTGCAGTGAGCTGAGATCATGCCATTGCACTCCAGTCTGGGTAACAAGAGTGAAACTCCGTCTCAAAAAAAAAAAAAAAAAGTTGATACTGTAATCACCCTCCTTCATATTTTCTTCTGGAATCTAGTTTTTCCACTGATTTTAGAGTCATTCGTGATTCCTCAGTTACCAAGATTCGTGGTTATTTGTCAGTTCTTTTCTCCTTTGTCAGATTTGCAACATTCCACCTAACTAATCACTTAGGTGGAATTGCAAGAATTTTTTTCTTCCTATTGAGAGATTAAAGGAATAGAATCTTAAACTTTTTGGCATTTATTACAGAGCTTTCCAACCAGTACATTGGATTACTTGCTGTGGATAAGAGTGATTGCTTCAGTTCCCAGGCTAACAGCATTTAGCATTAGCAGTTTCATTTACTGCTTTGCGTCACACAAACAGTATTGTTTTATTTGTACACTTTCATGTGAAAAGGATTAGGAAGCACTGCTGCATTACACTTGACTTTTACAGTGGTAATATTGAGCCTTTGCCAGTGTCGTCTTTGCCTCTTCTTCCTTCACCCCTAAATAAAGATGTTCCTAAAACTTTCCCTGATGCATTTTTTTCTAGGATTTTTTTCTTTTGGTCACACAACTTCCAGCTGTCTTTATGTGGATGGCATCTGTATTTTCAGCTCTTCTTTCTCAAGCACTAGCCTTGTGGACAGTGCATTATTTCTGGATGTTCTGTATAAGCCTTCATCTCGCCATGAGAAACCAGAACTCCTGTCTCTTTTTGCTTTAAACCTACTTTCCCTCAGTTTTTCCATTTCTGTTAATGACAAGATGATTCTTTCATTGCGTTTAAAACTTGTCACCTCCCCATTTATTATTTAATTCTGTCCATCTACCTTCATAATCTCTCTCAAAATGTTGACGTTTTAAAGTCTGCTTAATCAAGTTTTTGAGCATGGCCAAAATGGTGCAGAGGCAGTTTTCTTCAGGGGCTGTCTACCATCCACTCTAGCTTTTTTTGGCCCATAATGTTCTCTCCCATGAGGTTCCCAAAGATTCCTCCCAAATGTGGTCCCATCCATCCCCTTTGTTGTGTTTACATTTTAGCATATTGTGACCTGGTTCACTAATTTAATTGAAAAATTTCAACTACTGTGTGTTACATATCATGTTCCCTTTTCTCCATTTTTATTTGCCCTACTTTGGACATTCCTTACCTTGCCTAGGCTGGGAAATAAACCCACTGACGTTTCTTTTCATTTCCATCTCTTTTCTAATTCTTATATCCAGTTGCCATAGAACAGCTGGGTTAATGTTACTCCCTTATCTTCTATACTGAGTTCAGTTTAAACTCCTTAGTCTTCTGAATCATTTTCATTTTTTTCTCTCCTGTATAACATTCATTCAACTCAACTATTTGAGTTCCAGTGCTTTTCTACCTTAGTTTGATGCTTTTGATCCTTCTGTTTCTTGAGGATGGAATGTTTTCCTCTTTCATTTCCCATCTCTGTGTCTCATATCCTTTAAGACCAATGTGGCTATCACTTCTTCCATAAAGCCTTTCCTTACCCCCTTTACTGACAATATTGTGATCCACTGCATCCTTAAAGTACTCTATCAAAACTATTATTTGTGTTTTTTCCTGCATTTTAGTAACTTTTATCTAATGCACTTAAGTTTCTGAGATATAGTAAATCCAGTAGATTTGCTTTTGTTGTGCATGGGAAAGAAGCAAAAGCTTAGTGGTAGAGATCATGTACTCTGGAGGGAGATTGCCTGGGTTCAAATCTTGGCTCTAGCCATTTAGCTGTGTCATACTGGGTAAGTATCTTATCTTTCTGCGCCTTAACTTTTCCAGTTTTCCACATAAGAATAATAATAGTATCATCTTCATAGGGCAGTTGTTGTGACTATGAGATTAGTTTTATCAAGTGTTTTTAACAGTACCTGGCACATGGCTGAATGAGTTCAACTCGGCCCTTTTCTGATTGAAGTCATATTTTGTGACAGTTTCTGTTGAAGACTGGGTACCAACCTAGACCACTTCATGTGTATTTTGGAGATAAAAGTTTTATTTAGCATTACAGCTGCAAAGCTCATCATCTTTCTCTTCACTCTGTTGGTTTCCTTTTTATCTTTATTTTGGCATTTTTCATTTTGTAGATACTTTCTATAATCATTGGGCCAGTTGCTTAAGGTTGTTTGTCAAAAGGCAAACCCCTTTTTACAATTAGAAATATTCCATGTTTTTCCAGTTAAAAAAATCAATTTGTAATGCATCTGAAATTCTGTATCATGTATAACAAAACTGTAGAGATCAGTTAGTTTTTTTATGTTAATATTATTATACCAGAAATGTTTATTATTCTTTTCCCTATTTTATTTCCTTTCATAGTTGAAATTTGCTAATTTATAGCTTTAAAAAATATTTTTCATTTGGCTGCTTTTTGTTTTTATCCAGTATCAATAGGTTGAGATACATGCTCATTGTTTTTTTTTTTTTTTTTAGTTTTTCAAATTTATTTTTAAACTATATACTTTCTCTCAGTATATTCCTTAATATTTGAATTGACAATTGGGGATTTTAATTGACATTATACTAAGTATGAATTTACTTAGGAAGTATTTTCAACTTCAGTAAATTCGATAATGAAGGTGGCTCTGTTTGTTCCTTTAGTCAGTGTTTTTTCCTTTTCTTCTTCCTCTCTCCTTTTTCTTTGTTTGTCTTCCCACTTATTCACTTAGTTTTGACTCCCTTAATAGTTATTGCTCTCTGGTTCTTTTAAATTCCCATTAAGTTAATCTTCAAGCATTTATTGTATGAATAAATGGGATATAGCTTGTTATACCTCTTGTTAATAAAGAGTTGTTTGAAAAGGATTAAATAATAATTCTAATATTATTGAGGTTTTTAAAAAATGTCAGGTCTTCAGTAATTGCTCATATATGCAGTTTCTTTCAAGAATAGTGTTTTACACACATGTCCCGTTCTGTTTTTACTTTTTTGTTCTCCCTTGATAATCTCCTATTAGGAAATGGTGAACATATGGGTCATATAGGACTATCATGGCCTTAGGCACTTTTGCCTTCTTGGGCCCCTGTTTCTGTTAAAAAAATTAAAAATATCTTATGACTACATTGTTTTAAGGAAAAATATATTAGAATTATATATTAAAACATTTTCTCTGAAGCAAAAGTTCATTTTTTTCTTCTTATTTTAAAAGAAACTAAAACATTTTTGTGCACTTCTAAAATTATTGTGAGTCCTAGGCACTGTGCCTACATACCTAATGCATAAGCATGTACAGAATTGGGTTCTATATTCACAGATCAACTTAGTAATAGCAAATTGTTAGGTTTCTTTCAGGTGAGCACTAAACTGTGGAATACTTATGGTGGCATTCCTAATATGTCATTTGTTTTTATTTTTGTGTAAAATATATATAAAATAAAATGAACTGTGTTAAAGTGTTCAGTTTGGTAGCATTAAGTACAGTCACATTGTTGGGCAGGCATGCCCAGTGTCTCCAGAACTTATCCATCATCTCACACTGAAGCCCTGTGCCCACTAAACAACTCATTCCCCTTCCCTCTAGCTCCTCTTAACCATTTGTAATTTGTCTGTCATATTTTAAATCATTTTATAATTAGTATATATGGACAACTTGTAGAAATCTGGTTTAAGTTTAGTAGAAAGCTGTGACTGGACATGGGCTGCTGACAATAGCATAAGAATGTTGAACAGTATTGAAGGCTGCCGCTGAGGTATTCCAAATACCCGATGTGCTTAGAGAAGACTAAAACATGTATGTGGGGTGAGAGGGTAAAGGGGACGTGAGTTTCCCAGAGACAAATTCAGATAGAGTCTTTCAAAGTAGAGGGATGTTGTAGATTGGAATGCAGTTCAGAAGTGATTTGTGATTTGGGCAACAATCTAGATTTAGACAAAAAATTATTATTGCCATTTGGTGTTAGCCTGAATGAAATTTTATAAAGTGCAGTGATCTTTTTAAGAGGACAGATTCAGAGATGGTGGGAGAACTTTAGGAGGAGCATTTCACTTTCAGTAATTTTGTATTTTTTAAATCAAAATGATTTGTAACTAGTAATATATGGTAGAATTATTTAAAGTAATCTGCCTTAGAATTATGGTAGTTTGAAAAATACTCTTAGGTTTAAAGGGGGAGAAAAGCTATTACGGAAGTTTCATTTAGTCAGGATCGTGACCCAGAAACATAGTTCTCGGTGGTGGTGTGAAAAAGTTTTAATTCCTTCTCTTAAAAAGAAAAAAAACCAGACAAACCCATTTTCTTTTCTTTACACATATACATATGTATATGTATTTATGTTTGTTGATTTAAAGAAATGATACATGCTTATATAAAGTATTCTTTTAAAAATAAGCATATATTCACATGGC